ACAGGAATGAGCAGCAGTACAAACTAAACAGTACAAAAGTTTTTGTTTTTTGTGGCAGTTGTTACAGTATTGCACTTTTTAAAAAAATATAAATATCAATAAAGTGGAGTGACCAGTGCAGATTATACTTGTGAAGCTGCAGGGTAGCTTCTGAGTGCGTCCTGTGGACTGTGTGTGTGTGTTTAAGTGTTGTGGTTGAGGTGTCGTATGGCTTGATGGTAGAAACTGTTTTTAAGTCTTGTAGTCCAAGCAGACAGACTCCTGTAACGTCTGCCAGAGAGAAGAGCTGATGTGCTGAGGAGGCGCCTCCTGCTGGCCATTAGAAAGAAGGGATGTTTAAGACACTTTTGTTTTGGTTTACTTTTTATACTCAGAAGCTACGTCTATCTTTATCAACAAATTTTCTTTGATCACTTTTCCATTTTTTAAGCAGTGATTTGTCTTAGCACGGGCAGATTCCAAGAAATTGTCCTAACTGAGACAATAAAGTAAAATACAATAAAACAAAACAGTAGCAAAGTTGCACATCGCACTGGCAAAACACACACACACACAAAAATGCTCGCCTTTTCACTAATTAGTGGCACATGAAGTTGCTTTGATTTCCACACATCTTTGTCGGCGATGTAAACACATTTTTTTCTGCTTTAAAAACAAGTAGGGGAAAAAAAGGTTGGTTTGAAACTTAACTTTGACACAGGCACATTTGTTCTCTTCTTCTTCATCTTTTATAAGGGGGAGCGTGTATCTGCTCGACATGGGCCCTCACTCTCTGTTGATGGCGCTGATGGTGGTTGCCACAGCAACTGGGGCCTATGCAGCCGAGGAGGAGAATGAAGTGGATTACGGGTACTGGAACTACAGAGAGGGAGGTATAAATCACAAGCCTTTGTTTGATCTATTCTCTTTGGAGATACGGAGCCCGTAAATCACTGTGCATTTGAAGCCGTGAGCTATGGCAGCTGAATGAAACGCAGCAATCCGAGACACTTCAGAGAAACAGTTCTCGAACAATTAAAGCACACGCTTTCTTCATTTTCATGATTCATACAGGATGTTTTGTTGTTCCATAAATTGAAGCCTGATGGTGTCACGCTTCGCTTTCAGCTGAGAGCGTGAATGTGGCCTCAGTGCGCAGTGTGACCAGAGTTTTAGATGCCTGGGGAAAACGCATCTTCAGTGAGATCAAAACTCTGCTGCACTCACAGCCCAGCACGCTGCTGCCCGACTACTCCAGGTGGGCCTAACCTTTATCACCCATCATCATGATGTCTAATCAGCCTGAGGTTTGTTTACTCAGTTTCTGAGGATTAGACAAAAGAGTCGCTTTTATGTGATTAGATGACTACTGTTTAACAGTATCTGCTTTTAAGGCAAATGTTTATTTCTTCAGCATCGTTTGCTTGCAAGAAGAGTTCACTCTGTGTTTTTTTTTATTTTTATTGAGGCCTGTTTTAGTCAGCCTGGGAGATTTCATATTTTATTATGACCATGTCAACGCATTTCCCATTACTGCTGCCTTAGATATTTGGCCACTTTGTAGGGTACACCAATGCCCTGCTTGTTGACTGCTTGTTAATGCAAACGTCTAACTAGACAATCAAGTCTGTGCATTTAGAGACGTAGACATGGTCGAGGTGGCCTGATAAAGTTCAAATCAAGCATCAAAATGATGAAGAAAGGTGATTTAAGTGACTTTGAAAGCACGGTTATTGATGCCAAATGGCTGGTCTGAGTGTTTCAGAAACTGCTGATCTACTGGGATTTTTCCCCACACAGCCATCTCCAGGGTTTACAGAGAATGGTCCACAAAAGAACAAATATCCAGTGAGTAGCATTTTTCTGGATGGAAATGTCCTGTTGAGGCCAGAGATCAGAGGAGAATGGCCAGACTGCTTTGAGCTGATAGGAATGCAACAGTGGCTCAAATAAACACTCGTAACAACCTAAGTATATGCAAAAGAGCATCTTTTGAACTCAGCAGAACACCATATCTGTCAGCTAAGAAGTTGAGGTAAAATTAAGGCTAAAATTTGCATTGCCTGAGTCTCACCTTCTGCTGTGAAATTTCAATGGCAGGATCATGACAGCATGAAAGCCTGAATCCATCCTACATTGTATCAGTGGTTTGGGGCTGTAGCTGCTGGTGGTCTAATGGTGTAACTGGTATTTGGCACACTTTGGGCCCCTTAGTACCAACTGAGCATTGTTTTACACCACAGTATTGTTGCTAACCGTGTCCATCCCTTCATGACCACAGTGTACCAATCCTCTGATGCTGCTTCCAGCAGCATAACACACCATGTCATAAAGCCGACATCATATCAAACTGGTTTCTTGACACTGAGTTCATTGTGTTCAAATGGCCTCCAAAGTCACCAGATCTCAATCGAAGAAATCCGCAGCAGCTGTCTAATGCTATCATGTCAATATGGACCAGATAATAGCAACATATGCCCAGAAAGTTTCCACCAGTGCATTATGTATATACCTACTCACCATTTTATGAACTGAATTACTTAAATTAAACTTTAGCTGAACTGAAAAAAAGAGCAAGTTTTTATTCTAAAGTGAGACAAGAATGAACTGCCACAAATGCATTTTGGGAGCATCAAAAGTCACGAGAGAGTAAACCAATCCAATCCAAAGACGAACAGGAGCATTTCTTACTCTCACCTCAGCCAGTCTTTGTCTCCTGTTAACCACACAGATTGCTTTGGTTCAAGTCTCGGACTTTATCCACAGTCATAATTAATTTTATACAGCGCTCCATATGTGTGAGCGGTCCTCTGAAGTTAACCCTCCTCTGTTCCTCCTGCAGGGTGCGCCCTCTGTCCGAGTCTGTCAACGACCTCTTCAGGGAAGTCTCTCTGCTGCACCGACGCATCGCCGAGCTCTCTCATCGCCTAGCAACGCTGGAACCATTTCTCCGTCGCTACGGCTACCAGGGGGAGGATGGGGAGGAGAAGGAGGAGGAGGAAGGCAGGCGGGCTCACAGCCTGAAAGGGAAGGTGGCGAGTCTGGCCCGGTACACCCCGAGGACCGCAGTGAGCGTGAGCCCGCCCAGAGGGAGCAGGGTGGTGAGGAGGAGACGGGTGAGAGTCCTGAAGAATAGGGGAGTGAAGCTGGTCAAGAGTGACACATAGATGGATGGACAGAGTGGGGGGGCGGAAAGATGAAACAGTTGGAGGCTTTGTTGGGTTTACCGAAACGAATTATAAATCCCTTTATAAACTCTGTAAGGTTTCTACATATGCAATATAACCTCTGATTTTTATTAGTGAGAGACTAAAGTTCTTTAATAAACTGTTTTATTATCACCATTTCATTGCGGTTTTTGCCTCATCAGTTCCACTTCTCATTCTCTCTTCTTTTATTTTATGGATCACCTCAACTTGGGAAACAACCTTACACAAACCTAATTGCTGTCCCAGAAGCTCTCGGCTACTTTACCCGCTCTGTATCTAATCCGTGTAGATTGATTAGATACAGAAATAATGTGACGGGATAATCCAAAAAGCTGTCCGCTATCAAGGACGGTTGAGAGCTAAAGAAACTGATCACTAAACCAAACCAAATATATCAGCCAACAACTTTGCACTAAATTATCTTCTTGTTGTTAGGATTGTTGTTGTTTATTTATTGTTCACTTTAAAGGGCTATTTATATAAAGGTTAGAAATCATGCCTAACGAGTGGCACAACGTCTAGAAATAAAATATCCATTACATCACTTTTAAGCCACGTGATTCCTATTGTTTTTATTAAAGAGCATTCCAACCCCCCCAAACGAAGCAATACTCCCACACCACCTCCTTATTGGATTGAATATAATATATTACAGTGCGCAAAATGCAAGGATGGTGTGTGCGTAAAACAAGAAGAAGAAAGACTTGTTTCATTAGCGCAGTGATTGTCAAACCTTCCTCTGGCATGCCCCCACTTAAGGAAGTCGAAAGAAGTTCACACCCCACTTTTTTAAGTCTCTCGCAGTTTAAAAAAGAGGGTCTCTATTTGATTTGACAGAAATTAAGGTGCTTATCATAATAACCAACACAGCGATAGTCTACATGCAGAAAGCACTCAAAGTCCTTGAAGTTCACAGTCGGGTGTAGCATCTAAAGGATAAGGACACATATCTGTAACTAGGCATGGACAAATGATTTCAGGGAGAGCGAGGAGTTCTTATGTGAGGAGGAACAAGCAGAATAATTACATAATGATTTTATGTAAGAAATCGAACAGAAGCATGAAAATAGTCGGGGTTTCCGTCTTTCTTCTAGACCAGAGTAACTCACCGTGAGTCCTGCCTGCAGAGGACATAATAAAAATGGAGGTTTTTAGATAATTTGGCTAAGTTTTGTTTTTTTTTAATGCCCAAAACAGGAAAAAATACACCCTTAAAATAAGTCCACGGCGCAACTAATTTTATTCATGGAAACATTAAGTGTGCGTTACTTGATTTAATATTCAAGCCTATATTTATTACACAAATAACATTTGAAAGGCAGACACCTAACCGCACACATAGGGCTGACGGTGAGAGGCGTGGACGTCTGCAACGCTGCAGATGCAGGCTGTTCTCCTGCTACCTGTGCGTGTCCCAACAAGGCGGATGCCCTGTTTTTGCCACAGGGTGTCAGTGCTCGTCTGCCGCCGTAATCACACGCGGCTTTACGCCGATTCACGGAGGCTGATCTTCATTCATTTATTTATTTATTTTAGCTGAAGTCCAGGAACGACCCTCATGGGCCCAGCAGGGGGTGCCTATTATTTTCTAACATAATTATAATGTTTGTTTGCGTATGGTGATCGTGTGTGTGCGTGTCTTGAGCGCAGACAGCCAACTTTATGCCTTCATTAAAACTTTGCCAAGTGTTTCTACAGCAACCAGCTTCTCCCTACTCCTCTTCTACAACTTCACTTATCATCCTCATCTCATACTGCAGGGTGGCGTGTCCATTCTCTCCCCTTTTTTTCTCACTTTCAACTTGCAGCTGCACGCTAATTCCTTCCTTTTTTAAATCTTCCACCACTGATCTCCCCCCCCCATACTGTATATCAAACCACCACACCTCTCTCCCCCCCCCCTCCTCTCCCTGCACGCCCCCTTCCCCCTTCGCTGCTACGTGTGGGCGTTCAGCTCAGGCTGTACTTTCCATTTTGGTACTGTATTGTCAATGCATTGTTGCATCCAATCCAGTTAAGATGCCGTGGGAATACTGTATAAATCTCCCTCCCCGTCTCTCTTTCTACACCCCTCCCCATCTCAGCAAAAAGAGCCAGTTGCTAGGTAACAGTTAATTGTCAAGAAGTAGTTACATGTGTTGCAATGCATCCTGGGGTTGTTGGGTTGATGGAGGGATCGAAGAAGTAAGCAAAAAAAAAAAAAAGGCTGATGTTTTTCTTTTTCTTTTTTCAGAAGCTGATTAACTTATGAAAAGGTTATTTCTACCTATGCCTCACCTTGTTCTGTTCAACCATCCAGGACTGCAGCTGTTAAAAAAAACCTTCCCTCCAAATCTGTAGGCAAGGCATCGGTACATTTTCAAACCGGCTGGTTTCTTTAAATAACTCCTGTTGCTGGACAAGAGTAAAGAGAGAGTCTGAAGAGTAAGGGGAGGGGGAGAGAGAGGTTTTTGGGGGCTTTGATCTCTGCTGCTCGGTTCAGTTTGCATCACTTCTCCTTTCCCTCAATATATCTCCCATTATTTTTTGTTCTCCTTATCTCCTCTGCCTCTCTCATGCCTCTTTGTGGTTTTTCTCTTCCCACTGGAAAACAGAGAATGACAAGCAAAAGATGCAATGAAAGAGCAAAAAAGATGGCATTCTGCAGCAGCCATAATGTCACAGGACCGCACACGGACACAGCAATGTGATCCCTTCCTGTGACATCACGGTCGACCTACAGACATGCACATAAACTGCAGGAGAAAAAGAAAAGACCAACCAGCTGAAATTTCTTATTTTTTATTAATACTTAACACTTTTATTCCAAAGAGACAGAAGAATAATATTTCTCAGCACTTATTTTCACATTGACTGTGTTTAATCTCATTTTTCAATATTACTAAATATTCAATCAAATTTGAAATACTCTCTGCACACAAGTAATTTCTCTCCATACAAAAAAAATGCAAGGATGAACTAGATTTTTTTTGACATATGTACATTTTTCACAATCTGTACAGCTCAGGAATAGATTTGTTCAATCTCCTCTGTGACCAAACACAATATAACAGAAGATTTAGCTAAAGAGGGACAAAAAAAGAGACCACACCTCTGTAAAAATGCAATAGATAATCTATTGTGCTTTCTGGATAGCAATTATTGGCGGTGCTTTACGATCTCCCCTCGCGAGGAAAAAAAAACAGCCTTCTTAACTGGTCAAAAAACAACAAAAAAACCCCAAAACGCAACACTTGTTAAATGTGTGCACTATCTGTGTGATAATAAATGACTGCACGTATCCTGGCCTGAAGTCATTACAAAAAGCAGTTCTGCATTGGGGATCTCAGAATGAAAGATTTATCCCAAATAGATGTACTCTCTGCTGTTGTTTTGTACAGGTTTTTATCAAAAGTCCATGAGCGTGAGGTAAAGTATTTACATACAGCTTTAGTACATGTACAACAAACAGCTATATCTCTCACACGCACTCTGTCTCCCATATGAGCACACACAGAGGTAATCAAGCGTATGTTTTCAGGCACATACAATAACAGAAATAATGAGCTATATTCAAAAGGGAAAAAATCGTTGAAATGAGAAGGAAAAACGTTTTTTTAAGTGACAGCGAGTGTGTAAAGCAAGAACTGAGCCACAAACTATCAAGAAAGTTATATAAGGTTAACAGAAAAAAAAAGGAAAAAAAAGAAAAGTGTCTTCTATCTTTACCATAGTGAAAAGTTTTACTCAGATTCAGCATTTGAGTGAAACTGAAAATTTTGACTTTTAGATCGCTCTTCTCTTACAAAAACACACACACACACCTATAGTACTACATGGATCATCAGTACCAGTGAAAGTGATAAAATTCCAAATATCATTCAAAAACACACATTTTTTGGGCTAAAATTGAAAGTTAAAAAACAGAAATAAAGAAAAGTGTATACATGCAAGTGCTTACAAACACTAGACACCCCCCGCCCCTCATCATCACCCTTGTATCATACATACTGACTTGTCCACCAAGGGAAGGAAAGTCTTCTAAAAAATTTACCGGGATGTTCTACAAACTAAGTATTAGATCCATTCAGACAGGATTGTGCTTTGTAGATATCAAAATTTGGTTTGGCAACATGACTTCAAGTCAAACTGGACCAGTGACTTTAAGTAGAATATACTTTTCATGAATAATAATACAATTTAAAGGACAGAGAGAGCAGGAAACTTAGGAAATACACAACTTAGTTTTCAACTTCATATTCAGTCAGAGCAGAGATCATCTGAGTGTCTGATGTGGATTTGGAAGCTGCCTGTTTTTTTTTTTTAGCAACATAAAAATAAGTCAATCGATAATAAAGGTGGTGTTTTTCACACAGCGTCCCACCTTATTTTAGTGCGCCTACATCTCTTTACTCCGTTTTCCCCCCTTACAAAAGTCTGCAGTTGACACAATCCACACAGGACCTTGAACTTGAGGGCAAATTCTCTTCTTCATCAAAAATCTCAGCATGTGAAACAGATTAGGGCTGGGTGGAGGGAGAAATCAAGGCTACAGTACATACTGAGATTTTTTTTTTATGTTTTATTTGAGGGGTTTGTTAATGATGAGTGTAGAAAGGATGACCGAGAGCACAGAGGGGTACATTTATTATATATCCAGGTCCACTGCAGGATAATAACCTGGAGGAAAAAGCTGACATGTTGCTAATGTAGATTAGAAGGTTGATATTATGAAGCTACAGTCAGTTAGCTTGGGTTAGCATAAACTGGAGACCAACCAGCAAGCCCAGGGCTGAAAAATGAAGCTGAATTTGATTTGTAGTTCCTTTAATGGCATTTCGAGGTAAACAATTCCCTATAGACTTCCATATTAAGTTGGCTGACTTTACATAAAAAATAAATTTGTTTAAAAAATAACAGTTTTTGGTCTTTATAGCTTATTTTTTCTTTTATAAATTGGAAGAAGTTCTTTTGTATAACTCATCTATTTAAATTTAATAAAATCTTATAGTTAGCCAACACATAATTTGCTGTTTGGGGGAGGGGCTAGTCTAAGCTAGGCTACTAGCTGTGTGCTAGGGTTAACTTCAGCTAATTCAGTAAACTGGACATTTTGACTGTTTTTGTGGCTTTTGAAGCAATTTTAATAATATTAGTA